AGAATCAAGAATGAAAGCTTCATACCTTTCTTACTGATTATGATAATGCACAATAAAATATTATTAATACAGTATTTCCTAATACCAGAATCTTGCTCTGTCAATGACATGTAAAAAATGTCTGGCAAAAAAACAAGAATAAAATTAAAGCAAATAATAACTATTTCAAAATTCAAGAAGAAAATCTTGATAATGATACTCTCAAATAATTAAAAAACAAGTAATACAAAAAATAATGCTGGATGAACTTGATACCATAATGCAAATTTGAGATGCTTCTCAAGTATAAAATAAATTTATTGAGTATTTTACTTGGTGGATAGCTTTTGATAAAGTGGAATGGATTAAATATATTAAAAAAAATATCAAGAAAAGTGTGAGAAATGAATTAATACTTATTAATTATATAAGCATCAAGAAATAAATATAATAAATTTTATTAAGTCTTGGCACAAAAAGTTTAAATATACATATCTAGGAGCTAAACATAACTATCGAATTAATACTCTGATTTGGATCTTATGAGCTGCTTTAAAGAATGTAAAATTCAAGTGTGAAGCTATTCATTTAATGATTAAAAGGATAAAATCATGACAAAGAGAGTAATGGTATTGAGAACTTGCTAGTTCTGACTTGGATACAGATATCTTTACTATATCTGATAGTTAATATTATCTTGTAAAATCGTTAACTAATAGTCATAAAATTAATATAAAAGAATATATATAAAAAAGTGATAATATTAAATCAATTCATTTCAATATACTTGTTCAAACTTCAAATTTTGTGGAATTATATGCAAGCATATTTTTACAGTATGCTAAAAGTTTTATCCAGTATTGATTTCATATATTGCTTTTGCTCAGGAGGTAAATAAGTCTGAAGAGATTCCTGATATTATTTTTGAAGATTAGATTAGAGCTATTCAAAAAGTATGGGATTGATATGATCAAATAAACTGAAACCAAATAACCAGTATCAGCTTGAAAGCAATTGTAGATGTAGAAATGAAAAGAAAATTCATTATTCCTTTATATGATAAATGCGTTATTCCTGATTTCAAAATAAATAGAACTTATTATTATATTAAAAAATAAAAATATTTATCATAATTATTTTATTCTAGTTTTGATATTTCATTTTTTTTCTGTTCTCAGTTTCTCTTATAGTCTCTTATAGTAATCACTCTAAATAAAATTTCTCTTTATATATATACACAATAAAAATATACCTTCATAATTAAATCATTCATGATTAAAATTATTCAGATTTATTTGATAATAAAAAAACCTAACAAACACAACTAACTTAAAATATTACAAATAGAATACAAGATTGAATACCAAATACATGAAATACATAATAACCAGATGATAATTATAATAAGAATAATATTAGAGGCTGAAAGTAATAACTGACAACAGCCAAATATAATAAACTTCTTACCTATAAAAAGAAATAAATCACTTATCTGGTCAAAAATTGAACTGGAAGAAATTGCAAGAAATTGAAATACAAAATGCTAATAAAAATATCAACAGAATGAGTTCAGATGTAAGAATGATTGCCAAAAACTCATCAACAAGATCTAACACATAACAGATAACCTAGAAAACTTAAAGTCTAACTTTAAAGAGAGAAATTTGTAAAAATAGAATAATAATGATAATAAAATAAAACTGTAAAACTCACAAGAAGGAAATCATCATCCAAGATAATAGTAAATAGAATCCAAAATTATTATATATTATAGTACTATAGCAATAGCATACAAAGTAATATATCAGCTATAATAAAAGCTATATCATGTGATGTAAAGAATTTAAAAATTTGCAAGGATTATTATTATGCATATACATATCAAATAATACAGTGGATATATGCTTAATATGTTAAATAAGAGGGAACACTAAAGTGGGGTAGTGCAATTCAGATTGAGTTGATCTGAATTGATTTGATTTGGATTTACATATAGTATTATATGCAAAATAAAATAAACTTTTCAAGAAAATATTCTTATATTTTCAAGGGTGGAAAGAGGAGGGGATGAAAGCTAATTATGATTTTTATGTTAAATATAGGCTAATTAAGACTAATAACATTTACCATTATTAACATTATTAATGTTAAGATATATATAACTATTAAGACATGCACTAATATACTTACTTACCATATATACTCATAATTTCTTTATATACTCTCGCCATTTCTCTATATTTTCACATTTCTCTATATTCTCATCATTTCTCTATTTCTCTCTAATATGTAAGCAATGAATAAAACATCTCAGTATATTTAATATTAACAAATCATTTGAAGTTTTAGAAAAGAAATTTTGCGAAAATTTGTGGCTGCTTATTTTTAACATATAGACATAATATAGTAGTTGGAAATATAAGAATAATGATTTTTGAATTATTTACTCCTGCCATCTAGCAAAACATAAAGAATTAAGTATACGTAAAGAAGATATTCCTATTAAGAAACGAAGAAAAACTAGCAAGCTTGATCCTGGAAAGTATGATGCAAGGATAAAAATAATACATATTGCTTCAACTCAAATAGTTTATATTAAATATTTCAAAAATATACCCAATCACAGCCATCTAATCAAAGATAATGACAAGATTAAATGACCTGAAATTATTCAATAAATGATAGCTAACAAAGTAATAAAATCATATACGCTACTGGTCATTATGATTACTGTCAAAGAACTAGTAGAAAAGAATGGCTTAGACATTATTAGTCAAAATCTATGCCGAACTGAAGTCACCAACATTCAGCAAAAGATACATAGACTATTAATGGCTTATCTTGTAGGTGAGATGGACCTAGAGCTCAATATTCAAAATTTGCTAAAGCTATTAGTCAGCAAAGATTATAAAGTTGAATATTTTGAGGTTGCTCAATAATCATTAAAAGGTTTTTACTTTGCAAGTTCTTGGCAATTGGAAAAACTATAATATTATGAATGGCTTATGCTCATGAACTCCACTCACAATATTAATAAACATTTCTGACATCTATTTACTTTGTACATCCATAATAGTTACAGTTCCTGGGACGTGGGTGCATACTTTCTTTTAAGTAATAAAGATAGTAATATGATAACCAAGATATTAAAGATGATTTGAGAATTAATACCTTATTGACATCCTCAGTATATACTTAGTGACCAAAGTAATGTGGAGATTAATAGTATTACAAATACTTTTCCTAGTATTATGCATGGCAAGCAAAATTGTGATATTATTTTATGTACTGTTCATGTAATATATACATAACTATATAATATCTACCATCTGGTAATATATAATAAATTGATTCTAGTTATATATAAAAAAACAAGTATAAGTTGTGAGAAAGTAATTTATAATACCATCACCATCTATTCCATTCTAGATATCATTCACTATATTCAACATAATTATTCAAAGAACACAGAGAAATAGGCATTTTGGGTACATCAACATTTGCCTCTCTTACTTCAAGTTACTTCCACAAATTCATTAGAATCATTTCACAGTGAATTAAAAAGATTAACCACAAAGGAATATGACTTAATTGGTAAGTATTATTAACTGCAACTATACCATATTTTTCATCATTATTATCATTACTAAATTACTATTTCTTGGTTTATTAGGTGCATGTTACAAGATTATTAAGCTCAATAATAAAAAATGGTTGGATTTGGAAAAGATTATCTTCAACTTTTACCAAAAGCGAATCTTTACGATCAATATTGATAATGAAACTATTAAGGAAATTTGAAAATTTCCATACCCAATTCAAAAACTAATCTTGGGTGAGGCCATCATTATGAATTTTAGGATTACGAAAGGAAAATTACTGCCAAATCTAACATTATCAAATTGTCATTATATATTTTTTAATCATTATCTTCTTCCTTATCAATATATTCTTTATGAGTATCTATTTAGTCATAATAAATTACTAATAACTGATATTTGAAAGGAATTTCAGCAATTATTTGTGGAGACTGACTTTGAAGTATATAAGCATTAGAGAATGATCAAAATATTTAAGCTTGTTCAGACTCAAGAGGAAAGAGAGGCAGAAACACGTAAATTACAGGTGAATGAACTTATAGAAAGGGTGTGAGATAAATATTGGATAATAGAGGATAAAGATGATGCAGATACTACTAGAATATTTATCACCTGTTTAGATAAATTGTTAGATCCAGTTTTTAAAATAGTAATATAAATAATTTTGTATTTAATTAGAAATAATTCAATAAAATAGTATTAAGTAATCTGTTCTTTTCTTTCCATTAATATAGGTTTCTAATATGTCTAATGATTAAATATTCTTTAAATAATAATGATCAAGCTCTTAATTAAATAATCTAACTTTCTTCCTTTCCAGGCTCTTAAAATAATTCACATGATTTGCTTTGACCAATCATGAATTTTAACATAATTTAAAATCACATGATACGATCCGGATCGAATCGCATGTCACATGATACTACCCCGCTTTAGTGGACCCCTAAATAAGGCAATGCAGACCATAAAAATGAATCTAACCAAAATGAATTGGGGAGCACATAGATGCACTCGAGCTATATGTTCATTTTTATCATGATTATAACAAGTTTTTGTATTGTTAGAATGGTTATTGGAATTTTGATTAGACTGAGCAGATAACTTCTTGACTTGTTTAGTTAAGTTGGCTATGGCTTTACTCATGTCTAATGTTGGATTTGGATTACTAAATGGGATGTCAAGATTTTGTGGCATGAAAGTGAGAGGATTTGATAAGTTTGCTTATAGTTTGACTCAGTGTTAACTGCTTCAGTAATTGCTTCATTTAGATCTGCAGGATTACATGAAAGACAATTTCTGATCCCTCGATACTCCAGTGGAAATTCGTCTTCCCGGCATTTTCTTGCCAAGACCAAAGAGAAGTATGAACGTTTGCATGAGGATCAGAATAAACTTTACTTTGTCGACCAGGAAACAGAGAAGATGACCATCAACGAAGAGTTCACGTTTAATGACCTGGTGAAGAAGACCAAACCGGACTGTAAAGACAAGATCACCATAAATTTGTTGATCAGAATTAAAGGTTTGGTTGATTTTTTTTTAAAATTGCTGACATCTTTGAAACCTTACCTTGACTTCTCATCCATATGTTTGTAGGCAAAAAGGCATACGGCGATTGGGGAACCAAAGAAATGCTCAATATTCATCGATCGAAACAATTCCCGAGCTCGACATAGGTAACGTCTTCGAGGTTTTTATTAACGTGTTGGCGTTGCTTTATTAATCGAATCAATATTGTTTCTCTGTAGATGCTACCTTTGGGACTGAACCTGTGCTCGACGGGCAGGAATTCAGGCGCTTCACTGACAACCTTGCAAAGATTGCATCAGCATTTCATGACAAAGCTACCACTAACGAAGCTACAGCACGAAGTTACATTAACCCTTTTATGGTTGAGGCAGTCGCTAAAGTTAGGTCGAAACATCTGTCAACAATGCTGGCTGTTGAAGAGGACTTCGGACGGAAGTCGCGGCTATGGTCGTCTGGATTATGTTGTCTATTGTGGAGATCTCGCGATTTTGATAACCGAAACTAAGAATGGTTGAGATGCAGAAAGGAATAACGCAAAATATTAACTTCATACTGCAGCAGAGGTACCAAACATTGTCGATTTTGTTTTAATTACTCATTCCGGGCTGTTCTGCTTACACATTGCTACTTTTCAGAAACGTAAGCGCAAGCTTGGTGAGTCAATCACCAAACCCCCAATCATCTGCGGCATCGTGTCGACTGGAATAGTGTGGCAATTCCTTCGCTGGTCCGGTACACCAGAAGACCCTACTGTAAAAATCTCTAAGATGTACGTTTGTCCATTCGGAGGAGATATGCGTGAAGTCAAGGAAGTGGTTTCTATCATTATTCGTGTTCTTCAATCACAAGCCAGTGTGTTGACACCACAAATCGAAGTGGAAACTGAAAGAATTGACAAAGATAAGAAAGAAGATGAAGAGCGATTGGCCAAGTGCGTGCGTCTTGAGTAATTCGTAAAAATCCTCTAGATAAATGTATAACCTTTTTTTTGATCAGATAGAATTTACATCTGCTTTAAAGTAACAAAAAAAAGTATATTGAAATTCATTCCAACTATTAAAGAAAAACGATGGCTATTTTCCTTTAACTTTGAAGAAAATATCGGTGATTTTCTGAAAAATTTTATATTATGCTTCCAGAAAACACATCAATGTTCTATCCATATCAGTGATCTCAAAGATGAAGACTTTGCCCAAAGCCACCGAGGAATATAAAGCAAGTCAGTTAGAAAGAGAAAGTAAAGAAGCATGAAAACAGAGAGCATTAAGTTATACTCTTGAGTTGCTTACTGTTATGAGCAAAGCAACAGCAAATATAAAATACAGAGTGACGTCAAATGTTCATTTTGTCTGGTTTTATTACAGCACGCCCCATAATTTTTCTGATGCACATATCGTACCCATATTTATGATTAAAAAAGTATTTTTTCTCGTGCGAAAATAATAATGCAAGGACAGAAGCCTATGGGAACGAAAATTTTATTATTTTTTCAATTAAATGCTATACTATGGCTAATACAAGATAGAAAAATAAATGCAATGTTTCCTTTAACTTTGTTTTGAATGTTAGATGACGTCAATATCGAAGTTTGACTCGAGTCAAATTTCGATATACCAATAAAAACATCAACAAAACGACAATATCCTTAATTCCTTTTCCTTCTACGTAAAGGCGCAATCTTTCGTCCCGCCACAATACTCGCAGTGGTCGGATCTAACGGCGGTGCATTTCCGTTAGTAGCATCTTGGAAAATGGTCCCAAAGTTATTTCCGGAAAACGAATTGGTAGTAAGATTCTGATTGAATGTAAATGTTGCTGGGGGAGCACCATTACTAGTAGCTGAAGGAACCCCATTACCAAATGGGGTGGTAGTAAATCCGGATTCTGCCTGTGGTTGGAAAACATTAGTTGCTGCTTGTGGTTGGAAAGCAGTAAATCCAAAGTCGTTCGGTGCTACTTGTGGTGGTCGGAAAGCAGTAAATCCGGATTCGTTTGTTGCTTGTGGTAGTTGGAAAGTATTAAATCCGGATCCATTTGTTGGTGGTTGAAAAGAAAAAATAGGTTTATTTGTTTCTGTTGGTCGTGGTTGAAACGAATTAAAAATAGGTTCGTTTGTTGATGGCTGTAAAGAGGGAAATACAGATCCATTTGTTGATGGTAACGAGGTAAAGTTAAATGCTGGCTCTGCTTCATTAGTTACTGTTGATGAATGTGTTCTTTTAATTCGCTGGCTAGAGGGCCTTGATGTGAATTGTGAAATTGGTGCTGATTGGAAAGACGAATTACCAAATTCGATGTTTTTGCCGTTCATGAAATTTATATCCGTGTTCAGTGACAAAACGGGCACATCAGTAGTTGAAGAACTAGGAAATGGACCAGTTGTTTCCGGTTGGGGATTGCTGCCAGTTATTGTAACTGACTGCGTTGGAGTTATATCCATTTCCATTTGCATATCTTCGGGTGTACTTATCATATTACTGGTAATCTGTGATTCAGGTGTATTTATCATATTACTAGTAATTTGTGATTCAGGTGTATTTATCATACTACTAGTAACTTTCGATTCAGGTGTATTTATCAAATTACTAGAAAGTGGTTCAAATATTTTCCAAGATGAAGGTTCAACAACAGTCTGTTCAACGACAGTTACTCCACCGGCCGCATCTGAAGGCGTTACTATTGCTGTTGATGTAGTTGGTGATTGTTTCGATTTTTTAATGGGCGGTTTTAGCGAAGGAGGAATAGTAGAAGCAGAATAAGTGGCTTCTCCCACTTTAGAAGTTGATGCAGTATTACAAATTTCTGTAATCACTGACGAAGATGACGATGTATCAATGTTATTCTTCTCACCATTCGTAGTCGCTGCTATTGTCCTTTCCTTATCATCTTCTTCATCTGAAGAAAAGTTTGCGCTGATAATATTCGATGGTCTCTTTCTTTTGGTATTTGTTTTTATTGGCGTAAAAGGTTCCGGGACAGTTGTTGTTTCTATAGCGACTAAATTTGTATTCGCATTTATTTCTGGCCCCATTCCATTCTCCTGCTTATCTGGTGATGATGTCAAGTGATCTAATTTCTTGGATTTTGTAGCTCTCTCAGTAATAGTCGAATTGTCTTCATCTTTAGAAGCTTCGATTGCTGTTGATGTAGTTGGTGATTGCTTCGATTTTTTAATGGGTGGTTTTAGCGAAGGAGGAATAGTAGAAGCAGAATAAGTGGCTTCTCCCACTTTAGAAGTTGATGCTGTATTACAAATTTCTGTAATCACTGATGAAGATGACGATGTGTCAATGTTATGCTTCTCACCATTCATAGTCGTCGTCGCTGCTATTGTTCTTTCCCTATCGTCTTCTTCATCTGAAGAAAAGTTTGCGCTAATAATATTCGATGGTCTCTTTCTTTTGGTATTTGTTGTTTTTATTGGCGTAAAAGGTTCCGGGACAGTAGTTGTTTCTATAGCGACTAAATTTGTATTCGCATTTATTTCTGGCCTCATTCCATTCTCCTGCTTATCTGGTGATGATGTCAAGTGATCTAATTTCTTGGATTTTGTAGCTCTCTCAGTGACAATCGACTTGTCTTCATCTTTAGAAGCTTCGATTTTATCATGGGATCTTTTTTCTTGAGCTTGAGCAGCTTCATCTTTCTTACTAGGTAGTGTAGGCGTAGTATACGAAACCTTATCAGGAACTTTCGAGGTAGAAGGCGATGGTTGTGAAGTTTTTTGTGGTGGTAATTTTCTTCTTATGGAATACCGAGTTTTGGCAAGTGGATCATTTTTAGGAGGGGCGAGGATTCTATACATTTCTCTGTAAGTAGATTCTGCCCTTTGGTATTTAAAGCCAGGCGGATAATATAACTTTTTAAATTTCGGTTTTGGTTCCGTGTCACCTTCTTTCTTTTTTCTAGGTCGTAATCTACTCGTACTAGGATTCGCTATTGTCCTACTTAATCCATCAACCATTACTTCAGAATATTTTGATGATAATGGTTCGGCAGGATCAATTTCTTTTCCTTTACCCTTATCTTTCTTTTTCTCCATTTCCAGCCCAATCGCCATCTCCATGTTAGTAATACTAGTAGCGGTAGTAGTCGTTGTCACTTGTGCATCCACGTCCATACAATCAGTTTGTGTTGCGATTGATACAGAAGCTGCTCGAGTCGGTCCTGATTGCTCATGTTTAGTCTGATCTGATTGTTCATGTTGAGACTGATTTGATTGCTCGTAAGTAAGTTGTTGCTGCTGCTGTTGCCTTGGGGCACCAAATATGCGATATAACCTATCAAGTTGCGTCGTTACCCATTCCTTAATATTTCGTATTAGATGATGACCATTATCATTATTATTATTGTTGTTATTATTAGCGTTATTTTGATAAGGGGTTGCATCGATACGCTGACGAGCATGTCGAATGGGGCCTACTTCACCGCCGCCGAAGCTACTACTTGTTCTTGGGGTACTCGATCTGTCACTATCACTTACGAATGGTTCATAACTTTGACTAACGCTTTCAAACATCGCTTGTTGAAAACAAACATCATTAGATGGTAGTGAACTAGTATTTTCAGATTGAATTGAAAGCCCTTGACGGCTGGTTCCCGGAACGATATCCATGTCGTTGGAAGAGAATTCTTTAAGCACGCACAAATTCGCGTCTGTAGTCAAAATATTTAAAAGTTGGAACTCCCAATTTTTATTGTTTTGTATGAATTTTGGGTAGCAACATCATCATACAGTGCACGACACTTAAAAACGCCAATCACGTGATTTGTCCCATTTTTGGGTTCAAAAATCAAATCAAATTTAAATAAGCCAAAAATACTTGTCGAAAAATCACGTGATCAAAGTCACGTGCTATATAAGAAGCTGGGCATTCGGATTTTGAAAACGTGGTCCAATGAAAAATCAAAATTAAAAATCCAATTTTATTGGACGATCACTAATCACGTTATTACTTTGGATATGCCATCGATCATATGAAACTTGGACGAATACTATTCAAAAATGATTATTTTTTAAAAAAGAAGCCGCTATTTTGTAGCAAGGCCAATTTACTACAAAATAGCGGCCTTCTTTTTTGTACCACCTTTGTATGATTATCCTTTACTATTTAAAGATGGCTAGTTTTATTGGCGTCTTTAAGTGTCGTGTACCTATAACTCAGTCGCACAAGACACACTTACATTTTATTGGTTGAAATTAATTATTGTATTTTTGATTACATAATTAGAATTTTAAAATCCAGATCCGCAAAAATATAAGTACTAATTATTAATTTCAGATTATTATTAAAGAAACGCAATTTATCGAAAGTTCACCACTGTATTCCCATGTCTATTTATAAACCCTTTTCACCGTCTCGTAATACCTGCTCAATAGTGAACCGAGATGGCTGTTGTGACAGCTTCAGCTGCAAAATGTCTCCGATCTCATCACACGCTTTCAAGAGCTCATCGAGATCTTGTTTGGTGTGCGCGGCAGAAACACAAAAACGAGCACGCGATGAAATTACAGGGGTAGCCGGGTATCCGACTACTACGACGGCAATGTTTCGTTTTAGGCATTCACGCGAGAACGCACTAAAAATATTCATTAATTAATAATAAATCAAGCTCGCAATAAATCTTCATAACAAGATACATACGGAATTTTCGCTGGATTAAATAACAATAATGGAATAACTGGTGAATCATTATCGCCGTAGGTGATAAATCCCAGTCGTCTTAAATTCAAGTTCAAATAACGAGCGTTAAAAGCTAATCGATCTAACCGTTGTTGACCTTCGTTTGTTCCGTCTTCACCCATAATAATCGTCATTGATGAGTAAATTTGTTGTGCAACTAACGGTGTAATGGATTCTGCATAAATAGGTGCGTGACATTGAAGACGCAAGTGATCGATTATATCTTGATTAGCTGTTATATATCCACCGGCAGCGCCAAAAGATTTCGTAAACGTTCCCATTAGAATGTCAATGTCGTTCGGATCGACGCCAAAATAATCGCATACACCTCGTCCACGTGATCCTAAAGCACCAATACTGTGAGCTTCATCGACATACAAGTAAAACTTAAATAAATTAAAATAATAAACCACGAAAATTAAAAAAATCATAATGGAATGAATTATTGATGATAATAATCTCGAGAAATATTACCTTATATTTTTTCTTTAATTCAACTATTTTTGGGAGATTGCAAATTGTCCCTTCCATCGAATAAAGTCCTTCCACCACTACCAAAATCTTTTTCCATGGACGATGTGTACGCGGTTGCCCTTGACTAATGCACTCTTTTAATAGTGCTTCCAAATCTTCCATATCATTGTGTTTGAATACACGTATAAATGCACCACTAAGACGGCTGCCAAACACTAAACTACTATGATTATGTTCATCGGAAATAATTAGACTACCTTTGGAAACTAATGCTGGTAATGTTGTGCTGTTTGTAGCGTATCCCATCGAAACTATGATCGCTGATGGTTTCCCTACGAATCTGGCTATAAGTGATTCAACCTTCTGATAGATATCTAAAGTGCCTATATAACATGCATAATAACAAATATAAAACAAATAACTTGATAAAGATACATTCAATGATAATAGACATACCAACTTCAGCTCTAGGACTACAAGCAGCAATTCCATACTTTCTAACCGTGTTTTCGACCGCATCAGCGCATGCACCCTCAGCTTGTGCAAATCCCAAATAATTATAACTACTCAAATTTAAGCATTCCTTGATTTGACCGGTAAATTGAAATGTTTTGCAATAATCCTTTGTTTTCCTATCAAGTAATTTGATTTTCCTCCCGGGTACTCCAGTTACTGGTCGACTGAAACAATCATTAATCCTTAATTTAAGGCGACGAACATAAAAATTATCAAAATCGGAATTTAGTGGCGCGTAACCCTAAATTAGGGATTAATAACGTGATGTTGGTTTAAAAATCTTGAAATACGTGAAATACGTGATGTAATCTTTATACAAGAACACAAAACTCACATTTTGTTCTCTCAAGTGTTTATAATTCGCCCTTTTAAATCTCATTCCGAAAAAATCTCGCAAATGTCCAAAACATATTAGTACCAGATACGACAAGTAAGTCGTAAATAAAAAATAATATGGAGGCTCCTCTTCTTTCCTATGTTCATATTTTTTTGGTTTCCTTGATAGGGGCTCATTATTTGAAGAGGTATTATTAGTAGTTTTTAGCTTGATTTCCGCCCCCAAATTTTCAGTAGAGTTTTCTGGCGTAATGTAGTATTGCTGTGGAGATTCTTGGTCCTTACCCATCATTAATAATCTTAGATCCTTAATCTCTTGAACTTTCCCTAACGTTAAGCTACAAATTATTTACTGGCTAGATAAAATGTTGATCACACTCGTACAAATCAAAATATTTTTATGATCTTTCTCGACTTTTATCGGCATTCATGAATCGTGCAAGTTCTTTGGCTTCACAACTCGTAATTCTGCATATTTTTCATAACAATTGTAACAAATAGAAATAAATCTTTTTGCTTTACTGCTTCATATCACTCTTTAAAATACATTTAGGCCGTTGTAATTCATCGTCGGAAATTCGGTGGCCGGTTTACTATATTGAATAGGCCTGAAAAATACAATGCCTTAAATTTGGAAATGATTAGGAGTATTACACCACAGCTGCAGGTATGAAGTTAGTTGATGGTATGGATTTTTATTTATTTATTGGTGGTGGTTGTCTCTTCGTTATCATGTTATACTACTCGTAGAATTATTAACTAAGAAATTGAAGGAAATGATCTTGTGATTTTGTAAGAAAGACGTATATAAGCTTATTTAGGATAATTATTATTAAAGAATAATATCAGATTCACAATCTAATTTGGGTGAAATCACCATTTTCAGTTTCTTTAAAACTGATATGATGATGTGTCGGATAATGCAAAACAAAAATTATTCATATTCTAAAGTAACAATAGATTTCAATGAGATTACACAAGCAATCAAATAATAACGCTAATAATGATATCAGTAACATTGCTTACTACCATTCAATTTTAGGCGTGGAATGAGTCAAATTTATGCAAAGTTATTATACTTAAAGCTACTGGCTCTAAAGCCTTTTGTGCAGGTGGTGATGTGAGAGGTAAGTCGCGTTATATACGTTTGTTGAGATTAAAATTCATCTTTTTTAATACATATTTATATTAAATAGAGGTAATTGAACTTGCACAAAAAGAAAAACAAATTGGCGAAAAAAATAATTATAATAACAATAATAATATAAGAGCCGCGACATTTTTTGAAGAAGAATATCAATTAAATCATCTTTTGGCAACCCTAGATAAACCATTTGTTGCGTTGATGAATGGGATAACAAGTAGGCATATCTCTGTGTCTGTTTATTTAATTTCGTGAGAAAATAACGTTTATGTTGGTGAATTGATGTCCAAAATTATTTTAATAAAAAGTGGGTGGAGGCGTTGGACTTTCTGTTCACGCGCCATTTCGTGTAGCAACCGAAAACACTGTATTTGCTATGCCTGAAACACACATCGGGTTTTTTCCTGATGTTGGTGGATCATTCTTTCTGCCAAGAATGGACGGAGAGACAGGAACTTATTTAGCACTGACAGGAACGCGATTAAAAGGCATCGATGTTTTGTATGTAATGTCAAAAATTAATCAATCAATCAATTTATTCGAATATAAGCGTTATTTTATGCTTAATGTGCGTGATATGGGATTAATAGTCTATCTGGAGTTGCCACACATTATATACCCTCTGAGCGTCTTCCTTATTTGGAAGAACGACTATGTGAATTAGAAAGTGATGATCACGAAGTGATAAACGCGGCTATTGAAGATTATGTCGCGGAACCTGATAATGAAACGCGATATTCTCTTTCTGGTGATATTCGAAATTCTATTGACCGGTGAGAACCGTTATACATAAAACAAAGTAGCTGAGTATATCTTAGCATATGCTAAAACAAATTATTCATTAGAATATTTAGTCTTAATACTGTCGAGGAAATAGTCGCCGTACTGGAAAAAGAAAATACTCCATGGGCAAAAGAAACCAGAGACATTATTTTGAAGATGTCGCCTACCAGCTTAAAGGTTACATTACACTTAATGCGTGTCGGAAAGAATCTCGGTATCGCTGATTGTTTTAACCTGGAATATCGATTAGCTCAAAAATTTCTGGTAATTACAAAAATATGTTTACTTCTCTAAGATTAATCTTACTTATATACTTACTATACAGGAAAAGTCGGACTTCGCAGAAGGAGTAACCGCGCGCCTTATAGAAAAACGAGACAGTCCAAACTGGAATCCACAAACATTAGAACAAATATCCGATGAGGAAATCGAAAATTTCTATTTCAAATCACCAGCACACTCAAATACTCTAAATCTGTTAAACCCACGCACATTTATCTCCTACCCACACGCGAGACTCGGCCTGCCAACCGAATCAGATATCAAAAAAGTTGTCACGGGGCAAAATCGCGATGTTGGTCCAATGGCAATGACCAAAAGAGAGATTGTGGATTTCTTTTTGAAGGAACGAAAGGGAAAAATTGGTACTCGTGAGAAGGTAATGGAAGTGTTGGATCGGAAGACGAGGAGTGCTGATGATGGGAATGACTGTGTTCGATGGGTTAATAATGATGATTTCGATAATCATACAGTACAAAGGTAATAATAAATGAACCAAGGTATAATCGATCTTTACTGCAAACACAACCATTGAATTCAAATTGCCTGTTCAATTTTTAGCAAAATCTGATAGGATTTGTCATTAAAATACAAAATCGAACTTGAGTTTTACGTCTAATGAGAAGAAACTCAAATGTCAATGAATATTTTCGACTTAGTATTAGGATGCATGAAAGCTCCATTTATATAAACCGACTAGGATCGAAAATGGGAAATCTTTCCATGCTGTAAATAATATTAATCTAAAAAAATGCGCATCTGTACCTTCTGGTTCTGGTATAATTTTTTCAGACAATCCAGAAATGAAAGTTCCACCGTTGGTGGTCCCGCTTATATTCACGTTATTAATCTCACCACTTGTAAATGAATGCACCTTGTCCTATTTTATGATCGGGTCTCTAGCATGGAAAATTCGGAAATTAGCAACTAGCACACCTTTAATTCCCGATTGATTTCTGATCCTATCAGCAATGGGCCAGTGCTGGATCGACGAACAATCTTTTGACATCAGACAAGCGAGCAGATCATCTGTGCCCATTACTGGTTTTGTGGCTCAACGACAGTTTTGAATGACGAAACATCAAGCAGATTTCCGCCACGCCAATTATTTCCATTTCGTTTCAAACAAAAAAAAAGATTCTTTACTCGCCTTCTTATATTGATCAAGAAACAATTTTGCTTCTTCACACCTCTTGTCTTGCTCACGATCAAAATGGCCTCAAGAGATTTGACACATGTGTCTATCTTCCGTTTGAAAGTTCTTGCGCTACACTCATTAAGAGATCCAGAATACGCCATTCCGCTGATTTTCGATTGATGTATTCGTGTATTTCGTTGGACATGGTATATTGCAATTTTGAGATAAAGGGGAATTATTCCGCATTGATTTCCACAAATGGAAACAATAAGTGATGTTCAAGGAAATTTTTCTTATTACTAAACTTGAAAAAAATCGAAATGAAATTTTTACATATCTTAAAGATGCTTCTCAAATTTCACCAAGAAATCGATATAGCCTGTCTTCCAGCATTATCCATTTTCATCGTTATGATTTGGACGAATATGAAGTCCACTACTATTAGTAGTATCTATGTCCTGATTATAAAACTAAAGCTTCATCAGAATAATTAATACATTAGTTCATAGTTTTCGAAAAAATATATGTTAAACTAACTATTTTTTGAGCTAAAAATAAAAAATATTTGTTAGTAAAATTAAAAACTTTTATATGTAAGGAAAAACACGTATTTTACTAATTATAATTAGTAAAATATGTATTTTTCCTTACATATAAAAGTTTTTAATTTTACTAACAAATATTTTT